ACAAGAACAGAGAGGAGATAAAGTGAGACCTCATCTAGGTCCAGAGCTAATGGGAACGTGGGTCTAAGTGGGGAGGGTCCATCTGCCTTAGAGACCTTTCCCCAAATCCTGGCGACGCAGAGATTCTCACCAGCTCAGAAACACAAAAAAGGCTGCCTGTTACGCTGCAAGAGCCGTCATTAAATATGGGACCGAATTCTTACTCACAGGAAAGAGAAAGCGAGGCGAAGCGACGACTTTAATTTTACAAGAGCCGCTCATAATTTTTATTGACCTGACTTCTTGGCGCAGATCCCGAATACACAAGCGCGCGCACCCCCATTCATGATGGGTGTGTATTAAACGGTTTGGTTATATTCTATTCCCCGTGTGTCCACACACTTATCTTCTGGTTGCCTTGCTCCACCTGGCCTCATCTGTGAAACAACTTCTTCACACTTCTCAAACAGGGTGGAAATGACTGGTGAAAAGAAGCAACAGTATCTAAACACATGAAGTGCAGACAGAGTCATTGGAAGAGGCCCAAAGGTACTAAAACCATTGTCAGAGAGATTTACCTTCCTACTTCCTGCTTGGGCTGCGAATCTAGACACCTTCCCAAGGCAGGAGCAGAAGCACTCATCCAAGAAGCACTGCTGGTCTGGCGGGGAGCACCGTACTTCCTGCATAAAGAGGCAGCCTGCTTCGGGGGAGCTCCAGACCCACTGATCAGGTCCCAGAGGCATTGAGTAAACTCAACTCTTCACCCAGGGCAGCAGAGTTAGCCAACAAGGAGAAGCAATGGCAACTTTATCAGCCCCAGTCACCATCCCCATCCCCATCCCCCCAGAGATAGCCCTGCAGGGTTTGGGACCGCACACACATTTTGCTAGGCTATGGAGCAGAGTCTCCAATCTTCTGAGGTCAGGCCTCTTCAACTGTGGTCTGTTCATCAAGAAGACTTCAAGGGTTAAACGTTGCATTCAGACGAGGACATAAGACTCTTAGCGTTCATGAACAAATGAGCTGATTTCTCCCTTCTAAAAATGAAGATTTGGTACCTTTCCTGGGCCAGTTTGGAAACCAAGAGGAAGATGACAGATTCAAATCAATAGTATTTTGGCAGCCTGCAGAGGTGGAGAAGGTCACAAGAAGTTTCTCCTTCCTGCCCACCTTTTCTCCGCGCCATTACCTGTTTCATGTCCAAAGTTAAAAGGAAATAAAAGGGAGTGTGGAGTCAGAATTCTTCGCCTGCCTGGATTCTGCTCCAGAGGAGGATCACAAAGGTCTTAAAGTCTGCCTTTCTTTGAGGAGGACTTTTAAGAGGCTCAGGAGTTTACTTCGGAACTGGGCACTGAAAAACTCCAGTGGGATATTTGGTGGTTCTGTGTTGTCATACCGTTCTTTTGCAGGCAAACATTTTAAACGTAAAGTTAAAGCAGACTTTAATCTACAGTACAGGAGTGAATATATATCCTGTGGTATCTTCTGATATGCATCAAATTAACAGAGCGACACTTGACGGACAATTAACAAAAGGGTCCTTTCAGAAGTCACACAGTGGAAAGCCGGCTTCATGCTAGGCTGGAGACTGCTTCCTCAGAGCTGCACCTTCTGGATGAATATGTCTGAACGCAGGTTCACACTGCATTCGCATGTTATATTTGGGAAAGCATCTAAAACGGCGATGATCCAACTGAAGGCGAGCACTATACACGTTTGAAATGGCAAGCAGGGTTTTCAAAGATTTTTAACAAAACTATCCATTTTTCCATTTCTTAAAACCTCCTTGTTACGTTCTCAACCTTTCTAAAGAAGATTTTTTCCTGAGATTTATATAGCTAAAGCTCTAATCCAGCAACACAATCAGGAGTGTAGCATTTCTCCTGAATTTGGTCAAAAGCAAACATTTCAAGGGCAGTTTTGAGGTTCTTCCTCTAGTGGAACATTTGAGAAATGTTGAAGCAAACGTAGATTTTTAAAAAAGGAACAACTTCTCTGAAGACAACTGCCTACTTACACTGACTCCCCCATTGGTCGCGAATAAGTTACTACTTTTGGCATATTTTAGAACTATTCTAAAATACATACCTCAACTAGAAGCAGGGAGAGGTTGGTGAAAAGGGAGGGAAGAACGAATTTTTATTTATTTATTTGGCTTTCCAGCCATGTTCACCGTATCAGTTCAATTGCGGGTAAAGCAATGGTGGGTGTTGGAGGTGTCTATGTGTAGAAAGACAGAGCAGCTGCTTGTAGCATTTACTGGAAAAACAATTTCACTCTTCCAATGCACAGTTTCAGGAAAGAAAAAAAGAGACCCCACTAATTATAACCTTAGAAATTACACAGGGACAGTCGCTCCGCTTTGCCATCTAAATGGCCGCTCAACTCATCTCCAGTTGAAAAGAAAAAACAAAACTCACAGAGATATTTTGTCTAGGACCAAAAAGGAAGAGCAGAGAACCTTTTAAAACGTCATTTCATAAAAGGAAGACCAAGTGCAAAGCACCAAAGCAATTTCCGGTGGACTTAAATGCCAGCAACCCCCAAACAGAGCAGTTCTCTAAAAAAAACCACCCTGGATGAACAGGAGCAAAAGAATACAATAAACTGATTTTTTTTTTTTTTGGGTCCTATGCGAGCAGGTACAAAAGGGTTCCTTCAGCCAGCTGGAATAATGCAGCACATCAAACACACATAAAAACAAGAGTTCTCTTCTTGGACTGTTTCATAATGTCAGATGATGACATATTTATCAGGCTTCCAATCCAGCACAAATATTTATGAAGACCATGTGGATTTCTGAGAAGAGCCCAAGATGACACAAGTGTGGGCCAGCGACAGTGGAAGAAGCACCATCTCTCAAACAAGCAACACATGGAGCAGCGCGCCGGCCAAAGCCACCGCAAATCCTGCTTCCCTGAGGCGAGATCTTCGTCCTCCAGAAGCAGCTTCTCACCGACGCTGCGTCCGGCCAGGACACGCTCAGAGCAACCTGTGCGCCCCACGGAACTGAGGTCAAAAGGAGGTGATGTTTCCAACGAACCCGCATACACTGATTTCTCTCCACGTAATTATAATTAAGATGCGCCTGAAAAAACGCTTCGACAGAGAATGGTGCAATTCTAAAGCTGGCTGACAAAACCCTGCAAAACTAAACGTGAAGGAGGCGAAAAGAAAAAGGCCGGCATCCATTCGGATCAGGCAGTTAAAATGTGCAAGGACGTCACACACTAATGCAAACGGGAAGGCTTAATGCAAGGGAACCTCAAAAGAGTTTGCCAGCTGAAACGAGGGGAAAAAATGAGACCTACACGCTATGACGTGAGAAAAGCGAACCACTGCCATGTCACACTGGGCTGGTTCATACAATACATGAGGCCCTGGTATGGTTTGTATGACCTTGGCTTAGCCTATTATTCAGTGTAGCCATTGTGACATATAAATTATGATTCAGGACTTAGAGGGCTGCCTGTGGGTTTTATGCATAAAATGCGGAGAAAGAAACGGTGGCTTTTAGGACAATGTGTGAACCCAGGCATTAAATGCCAGTCCCATGAGTCAGTCTGACTCTCACACGGACAAATTTTGAAATTGTCCCTTTCAGAATCAAACTGCACCGTTTTTGCAAACGGCCCCGAGTGCCTGTAAGTCGGTAGTACTGAAAGTACTGCAAAATGTAACGTCACGTAGTATCGTATCATAATATATACTGTCTTCTAGGATATTAGAGGTAGGAATGTTGTATTAATTTAATAGGTGGGAGGTGCCCAGAGAAAACCAGATAGGTTTTTAATTGGCTTCCAAGCCGCCTCTTTCATTCAGGCAATTGAGGCCAGATGCTGCCATCTTAATACGTCATGGATCTCTTCCCAGTCCACCCCATTTCTCCTGACCTGGCCAATCCTTCCTCTGTCCCCTATTAATTTAACGCAGGCTTCTCTAAACTGGTGACTTCAAGGCAGAGTGGGAGTTGGGGGAGCAGAAATCCAAGGCGTCAAATGGAGGACAGCTTGGAGAAAGGTGACTGGATCATCACTTGTCAAAACACACATTTGTGTGCAGGGGTGACAAGAAGCTTGTGCCGCTGTTTGAAACACTGGTCTGATGGAGAATTTCAAAGGACCCCCAAAGTCTGCACAGTTTTTAAGGGTCGTCTTCCAATTTCAGAGCCAAATGTTCTCTTCCAGGAGCAGGGGCTCAGTTCTTGATTAATCGGTATAATACGATACGATACAGTCATACAATATCAAAGAGTAGAGGAAGTGCAGAAGATGTGCAGAGAGGGGTTACTTTTGAGCCACGTATCTCCACAAACTCTCTTAGCGAAGACAGCATTTCTGAAGGAGAGCTGCCTCTCCTGGTTTCTATAATTTTACAAGGATGCACGAGAGCATCTGAGGCTGTTAAAAAAAAAGCAGAAATCGCTCTTCCTCTACCTCCTCTGCTGCTCCCACCCTCCTCTCTTCTCCTCAAACAAAGTTTCCACAGTGTCAGAAATGACAAAGGAACAAATTAATCTTACTCTGGCCAACAGCTTACCTAGAGATCTACGCGCACATTTCTATTGGTTGCATAACCAGGCCTTTGTTTTAAAGAAATAAATAAATAACATGCCAGGCTTTCGGCAAGTAATTTATTTGAAATATCTCTATCAACAAATTTCAACAGGAACAAAAGTTTTCCA